GGCTGTAATATCCATCGAAATTTAATGCAAATAATTCTATATATGTCATAAAATATATAATTCTAGCGATTTTTAGCGCATCACGAAATTATTCAAAATAATTCATTATTCATAACAAAACATTTTCGACTACAGCGGCGTGGCTCTGGTCACAACTTATTAAAAAATTACAATAAGGTTACAATTACAATAATGTTGATACTGTAACATGTTGAAAGTATAGTAATGTTGAAACTGTAACATGTTGAAAGTACAATAATGTTGATACTGTAACATGTTGAAAGTATAGTAATGTTGAAACTGTAACATGTTGAAAGTATAGTAATGTTGAAACTGTAACATGTTGAAAGTATAGTAATGTTGAAACTGTAACATGTTGAAAGTACAGTAATGTTGAAACTGTAACATGTTGAAAGTACAGTAATGTTGAAACTGTAACATGTTGAAAGTACAGTAATGTTGAAACTGTAACATGTTGAAAGTACAGTAATGTTGAAACTGTAACATGTTGAAAGTACAGTAATGTTGAAACTGTAACATGTTGAAAGTACAGTAATGTTGAAACTGTAACATGTTGAAAGTACAGTAATGTTGAAACTGTAACATGTTGAAAGTACAGTAATGTTGAAACTGTAACATGTTGAAAGTACAGTAATGTTGAAACTGTAACATGTTGAAAGTACAGTAATGTTGAAACTGTAACATGTTGAAAGTACAGTAATGTTGAAACTGTAACATGTTGAAAGTACAGTAATGTTGAAACTGTAACATGTTGAAAGTACAGTAATGTTGAAACTGTAACATGTTGAAAGTACAGTAATGTTGAAACTGTAACATGTTGAAAGTACAGTAATGTTGAAACTGTAACATGTTGAAAGTACAGTAATGTTGAAACTGTAACATGTTGAAAGTACAGTAATGTTGAAACTGTAACATGTTGAAAGTACAGTAATGTTGAAACTGTAACATGTTTAAAGTACAGTAATGTTGAAACTGTAACATGTTGAAAGTACAGTAATGTTGAAACTGCAATAGTATTCCAATTACAGTGATATAGTATTCCAATTACAGTGATATAGTATTCCAATTACAGTGATATAGTATTCCAATTACAGTGATATAGTATTCCAATTAAAGTGATATATAGTATTCCAATTTTATAGCAATAATATAGACTGGCACTTAGCGCTGCCGCTGGCCTTTGACGCCCAGTTGCCTGAATGAAATTACAATTTTTTCAATAACATCAAATAAACGCTATTGTACCGAAATAATTAATTGAATTACGCCAGGTTTACGCAACTATTTAGATGTTCTCTTTGCAATTACATGTAAATTTAAATAATCAACGCTGACTGGGAGCCGCCGTAGCTCTGGTGCCGCTGTAAATGAAATAAAATGCTTAAATTGCACACAAAATTTTTCACAAACCAGGTATAAAATTTTCACCCGCAAATTCAGCGGAACGTCAAAATTCATCATCAGGTCCTTTCAGTATACATAACTTAAAATTTAAGTTTTTGAAAGTTCTCTGGACGAAAATGAAAATATTTGCTTGCCAAAAATTTCCATAAACTCCAAGCTGCGAATCTCAGGAAAAAAATCCGACTGTAGACTAAATTTGCCGTGAATAATTGAATTTATAAAGACCAAGCAACAGTGAACGACCAAAAACTGCCGATATCGGACTGGCTTATTTGAGACGCATTGCTGGTCGTTGTGGTGCTAATGAGGTTAGGTTACGACGCGTTACTCACCTTAACGATGCACACATTGTATGTACTGCATACTCACAGTTACTGTAGATATTGAGAATATTCTACTGTAGCTGCAGGCTGCTGTATTATACATAACACAACACAGCAGATCCTGTATAGCTGCAAGCTGCTGTATAATAATTATTAAAAGCAGGTTTTTCCCAGAAACCGGCACATTCGATGCTGTTATAAAGAAATGTTCTCCTTGTTTGTTGAATTACAGTATCTGTCATTCGTAGATTATTAGTTGCTGCTCACTGAGAGAAATCAGTGAGACTCTGTAAATAAATAAATTAGTTACTCAGTAATTCAGTAAATAAATAAATTAGTCATTAAATAAATCATATAATAAATAGTAAATCAGTAAAAAAATAAATAGTAAATCAGTAAATTTAATAAATTAGTTACTGATTTCTTAAAATGTTTTGCCTTCAGATTTTCATTCTACTTTGCACTTCTTTTTGCACTCAAACTTCTCTCAGAGAAATGAATGGGACTTTGTCCAAAAAGCGATATATTTTATGCGCTTTTATGGGTCATCCTGACCCAGTTTTACCCGTCACACGGGCGTGCCAGTGCTTAGTCCGCTGTGTTTCACTATTTAGTGAAGTGTTTCACTATTTATTAGGACAACATGACCTCATGATTTTTTTCAGTGTAAGACGGTGCCCTTATCAGCTGCCTCGGCGCCGCATTCCTTAGATGAGGCGCGGGTGTAAGACAAGCGTCGGTTAAGGCGCCATTTAAGGCGTTTAAGGCGCCACTTGAGTGGCCGAAGTGGCCTTTTGTGGCCGTGACGAGCGCCTTCAGCGGGGCCATAAAATGGCAACTTGACGAGACGCGCCGCGAGTGAAGCACGTGTGAGCTTATAGCAATTACGGTGTGGTGGTGATGCTGGGTGGTGGTGAGGGTGTGGTGGTGAGGGTGTGGTGATGCTGGGTGGTGGTGAGGGTGTGGTGATGAGGGTGTGGTGGTGAGGG